CAATTAAGGACACAGTGAGCCTTTATTTTCTAATAGCAGGTATCTGCATGGTGTCTTGTGGGTGGTATTTTTATTCTGTTCAATTTCATTACATTTCTTGTCTATCTTAGTTTCTCCAAGTGTTTTTGAGTGCCTTATCTCTGCCTCTCTTCTGGGTTTCTTTCCTCCCTTATCTCCCTTTTGTTAAATGTCCTCTGTTCTTCTTTCCTTAATTATATCTAGGCTTTCTCATCCCATCCTAAACCTCAGTCTCAGTGTGATAAACACTAATGCAACTCTGCCATATTTCATTATTTTAATTCCTGCCAATATTCAAGCATCCCAGATGCACTAAATCGAAGAACTCTACGCTGTGTGCTTATTTTGTTTTATTTAAAGTTGTGCTCACTACCAGCCATTTAATAGAGCGTTGTAGTTGGCTGTTTTGTTTCAGATGTTTTCCTTCATACCTCCAACACTGAGCCTGCCTTTGGTTTTGATGTATTCCAAATGGGACCATAGTGTAACCAGTACTGTGGTGTTTCAGAAGAATTTGAAAGAATAAATAACTTCCTTAATGTTTCCCTCTTTAAATCCCTCTTTTGTTGTCAAAGAATAGTCTAGTGTCTGCACTAAGAATATTAGACTGCATCTGGAGATGCATTTACAGTGGTATGCAAATACAGCATGAAATAAATTATAGAAGAAATAAAAACATGTGTGAGACATTCTTGCACTAATCTAACATCCCTGGGGTCTTAGAAGAAATTCTGCTCAGAGACGGACTATAGATATGAAATGAATATATTAGAAATGTTACAGTAAGGCCAAGGGCCAGATCTTTAGCAGAGGCATACAAACCTTTGCTGCTTCAAAGATTTTGGAGCAGGATAAATTTGGCACAGCTGAGAGTCATGGCTCCCTTCCCAATCTGGGAACCAGTCATGTTGGGTTCTGGAGGGACAAAGCGCACAGTACACATCACAGTTTTTTGGGTACTATAAATGAAAAATGCTTCTCAGTAGAGATCCCATATTAGACATCATATCAGGAAGGCTTCATGCAGGTGGTCTTGAGCATTGCCTTTACATTGAAGGTGGGTTCTGTGTTGGCTTTAAGAGGCTGGGGATGGTTAGGATGAGGAGCCCCTCCATCTAGACTTTGATCTGGTGAAGAAAGCACAGGAGCAGCAGTTTATCACTGGGTGCTGCTGAAGAAGGGTTGCGTTTCACCCAGTGAAATCTAGGGGGTGACTTCATCCCATTCCTATCCCATTTTGTTTCCATGATTCATTTGTTTATTCCTGCTTGGAAAATGCTGGAATTTCATGCGTATGAGCTGGGTATCCCAGGGCTCTATGGCTTTCATTGGCCTTTCTATACCCAGCAGAGCTTGGGTTACAGATCTTGTCCTGATCCAAACTTTTATATCCACCTCAATTGCCATAGTATGTTGGGTGAAACAGGGGATGCAGTGTGGGGAAGTTGGACTTGTGAGGAGCATGGGCGTGTGTGTGTGCGTATTTTCAGCTGAGAACTGAACCTTTGATAGATAATAGTCATTTTATTAAGAAACAGTTACTCTTGGGTACTGAGAGGGATAAATGAACATGCACACAAACACGCACAGATCTGGGGTGGGAGGTGCAGTGCTATGGACATAGCCCCTTTCAGTCAACCATGCCTTATGAGCAGCTGTAGGGGCTTATTTTTTTAAGTCCTCAAAGCAAGTTAGAATTCCCCACTCCCTTCTGTGCTCAGCAGCAGCACCTCCCCCTCCTCCCTCACCCACAATTGCCTCTGGGGCAGGGGGTGGCGGAGTTCCAGAGTCACTCCTGCCTGCTCCAGCAAGGCTCTGTGTGGAGCTGGGCTCATCTAGGGACAGTGGCACTAGCAGGTGGATCCCTCTTCCCTTCCTGGTCCTCTGGGCTAGGGACAGAAATGGCACATAAACTTGTATATGTGGTTGGGAATTGGTTCAAATCTGTAACACCACAGAAGTTCAGTGCACTTTCAAAATGGCTGAAACTGGTTTAAGATGAACCTTGACCCAATGATCTACAAGGTCCCTTCCAGCCCTTAACAGTCTATGAAATCTATGAGGATGGATGTAGTATCGGACTTAACTGATTTAGGTAAAATTGCTTTACTGAACTGGTGTCCCAGATCCCCTTGAGATTCAAGTGAACTCACAGTTGCCCAGCATCCCAAGATACTTTGCACCTCCTCTGGGAACTCCCCCCTTGCAGGGTGGGTGGGCTAGCCTTGCCCCAAGCTGTCTGCTTCAGCCGAGCAGGGAGGCATTCTCTAGTGCCCACCATCTTCTGGCCTGAGCCACTGCAGGCATGTGGCTGCATTTCCAGAATCAAAAGTAAATGTCTGTTCACTTGCTTATCAGTTGTATTTATGCAGCTTAGACTAACCTGCGAAGATCGAATCAATTCAGCCTCAGGCTTTCTGACTGTCTGTACTCAGCCTTGGCTTTTCCTGCCAGCGTGGAAGTAGATGTGTGGGAAGAGAACCTGGCTGCTGCCATTCCTGTCTCTGACTGAGCATGACTCCTTGCAGAGCCTGGCTGGAGTGGGGAAAGAGTGGCTATGAAGCTGTCATCCCAGCCTGCCTCTGGATCAGCTGGGTACAGCAGTGGGTGGGAAAGGGAAGGGGATGTGCCACTGTGCATAGAGGGGAAGGGAGGGAGTAGGGAAGATTTTTATCTGCTTGAGGGACTTCAAAAATAGTCCCTGGTTGCTGCTCTTGTGGTGAAGTCTGCCTGCACTGATGATGGAGGAGGCTGGGAACCCTCTTTTCCAAATCCTAGATCTGCTGGGACACACACACACACACACACACACACACACACACACACACAC